CTAACTTTGTGGCTTGTGGAATTTTTTAATAAAATAAAAATAATTTGTTTAATTTGTAAGAGGTAACATTGGTCCAATCTTTTATGTTTTTTGTAAATAAAGTATTTACTAAGCATTAAAAGTTATATTGGTGGCTTTTGGTTAATAAATTGCTTTAATTTTACAACTGTTCAATATTAAAAGGCAGAATATTTAAGAATAATTTTAACAATTTACTAAAATAAAAAGAATATTTATCAGAAACATTTTTTTGAATCCGTATATTTGCTGCTAAAAGTATGAAAGCAATAAAATACTTTAAATCGAAAATTGTGCAGCACCTCATTGTTAGTGAGCATTAATAAAAAAATCTTTAAATATAATTTCATTCTTTTTTTTTTTTTGTTATTTATGTGCTCCAAGAAAACCTAACGGTCTTGTCACAGAGCACCGCGGAAGTGCATTTAACGAGGAAGTTCACGCCTCCTTCCTTACCTTGCTGTGAAAATATGTCCAGAGCTCGTTTTAAACATGGATCTCCTGCATATAAAGCAAGCGCTGTAACCACTGCGCCACGGCCGCAATAAATGATTCTAATGCTTCGCAACTAATGCTTCCACCTTGAAAGTGACACATGAAGGCGAATATCTAAGTTTTATTATCTTATTTTTAGAACACAACATTACAAATTTATTAGAATACTAACCCATCTTATGAAGCTAAGTTACTTTTTACCATTTTTTTGACCGCCCAAAAAATATTTTTTGATGAATAAAAAAAATCTTTCTTTATCGCTGAAACTAAGAAGTAAATATTAACTTTAATAAATAAAAAAATTAATTTGAAGCTCCTAAGAAAGTTATAAAAACTTGACACTTGGATAATACTGCATATATTAAAAATATAATCGAGCATAGCAAAAAAATACACTAAGTATATATCCTACTCAATTAAATGGAACAAATATTTCTTTAAAAAAAAAGCTAAAATAAATTGTTACCGTTAAAGCTAATTTATTTAATAATATTTAAAATGTAGACAAATTCAAAAAAATTGAATCCCATAGAAAACATTAACGACAACTAATACTATTCTAAATAATCTTCCCAGTGGGTACAGACGTCCAAAAGACGTCTTTTTTTGGTCCGGTATGTCATGTCTATATTAGAGACTGTTATACAATTATACAAAATTGATATCGATTTGGCTATTAATCTTTAACTTACAGCAGGCAGATACCAAAGTGTTGCAATTAACAACACCAGCTCTATAAAGGTTAATATTCTCATCAGTGTTTCTTAAGGTTCTGTACTTGACTTTTAAAAGTAGACTAGATTCCTGGTAAGAGAACTTGGGACATATATCTTTTTAAACTGGTTGTTAATAGCGGGGTGCGTCCTAATGTCATAATTGTCATAATGTCATATATAAATATATCACAGCTACAAAACAATTTTTATTAATTTTGCAAAACATCGGAAAGCTTCAACTTATGTGAAATAATAGACGTGTAAGAAAACTCTATTGCAACATATGAATTTCTTGCAACATATGAATTTCTTGCAACATATGAATTTCTTGCAACATATGAATTTCTTGCAACATATGAATTTCTTGCAACATATGAATTTCTTGCAACATATGAATTTCTTGCAACATATGAATTTCTTGCAACATATGAATTTCTTGCAACATATGAATTTCTTGCAACATATGAATTTCTTGCAACATATGAATTTCTTGCAACATATGAATTTCTTGCAACATATGAATTTCTTGCAACATATGAATTTCTTGCAACATATGAATTTCTTGCAACATATGAATTTCAAACACAGACAAATGCTAAATCTTAAATGTTAAAATTGACGATAAAACTTACACAATTTAACTTTTTCACTCTAAATATAAAAGTTGTTAGTATTATTAATCGATTATTGATAGAATATTTAGAAAAAGTTTTGAAGAAGAAAGCGTGTTGGAGTATTTCCATACAATTATATAATTTTTTCAAAATTTTTTTTAATAATGCCTTTTTCTTTCACTAAAAATACTTAAAAAATTGCATTAAGAATTAAAGTGCAGATATTATAAAATATATTATAAATTTTATATATATCTTGCAGTTAAAAAGAGAAGTTTTAAATAAGAGAGTAGTAAATGTTTAACAAGTTCTTTCTCTCTTATTTTTGTTTAACTCTCTTTAAGTTTTTATTTTCCTTTTTTATTCAATAAATTAAAATATATAGTTTTTATTTGTTTTTTAATTTTCAGCCTTGTTTTTTTATAAAAGATATTTCTTATCTTTAAAAAAGTGTTTGATAAAATATGCAACTAATATAATTATGGTATTTATATAAATTTAGCTTAATATATATGTAAAAATAAGCTTACCGTCACATTATTAATTTAATAATGTGACGGTAATTAATTGTGATGGTTTGGGTTCAAATCTTTTATATTTTGGCACTACCCCCGTGTTATTGAATGACAAAAAAGATATAGAATGTAAATGAAGTAAACAGTTATAAAACACGGCACATGTTTTCTTAGCTAGCTTTGCTAGCAGCCCGTGAGTAAAGAAGCAAATTTAAATTATATGTGAGAGTTGAGGGCTCATTGTAACATTGCCCATTAATTCTGACAAGCAGTGTTTAAAAAATAGTTATTACTAATTAATATACTCACACGAATAAATAATAAGACAATATAGATACATATAATTATTATACAAAAAATTTGGCAACTAGGAGAAATATTAAAACCTCCCAGCTGCATAACTGTTAAAATTACTATGGTTATCGACGGTCTTATAAAAACTCTTGACTAGAACTAGGGACGTCATTAGTTATTCGTGGCCCTAAACTAAAAAATGCCCCTTGCTTTTCATTTATATATATATATATATATATATATATATATATATATATATATATATATATATATATATATATATATATATATATATATATATCATTTCATATTTCGCTGTTAAAATAAGTTACAGATGAGTTTTTTTTTTATTTATTCATTTGAATAAATTTACAAAATTTTTTCGGAATTATTATTTCGCAAAACTAAAATGTGTTCTTTTGCTTGATCAAGCAAAAGAACACATTTTAGTTTTGCGAAATAATAATTCCGAAAAAATTTTGTAAATTTATTCAAATGAATTTTACTTAATATTCTTAGTAGTTACAAATATATATGTGTCTTTTAAAGTACTAATTATTAAATCTTTGTGTATCTGTTAGTATTTATTTCTAAATCTTTGAATTCCTATATTTGCAATATAGTTATTGCAAAACATCTTTGCAGTTGTGTAATTTGCTTTTTAAATATATCTTTAGTTTATTTTATACTTTTTAAAATTTATTGTTTTTATATTTTTAATTGATTTTTACAACTCTTTTTATCAATATTTGATTACATTGTAGGGCTCTATGAAAAGATTAAGGTGATATTGCATCATCCATATCTACTTTGAGTCTCCGTCTGTTTTTAAAATATTTTATTTATGATATTTACAATGTAAAACTCATCTGTAACTTATTTTAACAGCGAAATATGAAATGATATATATATATATATATATATATATATATATATATATATATATAAATGAAAAGCAAGGGGCATTTTTTAGTTTAGGGCCACGAATAACTAACCACGAATAACTAATGACGAATAACTAATCCGACTCCGCTAAAAATGTCGCAACTCCACAACTCCGACTCCGCCCCCACAGCCCTGATAAAATCATTAAACTCATTAAAGTTTCAATTGAAACTTTAATGAGTTTAATGATTTTATCAGGGCTGTGGGGGCGGAGTCGGAGTTGTGGAGTTGCGACATTTTTAGCGGAGTCGGATTCGCTAAACAAAATCGTAACTCCGACTCCAATAGTAAAACTACTCGGTAATACACGTGCATGTACTACATTTTCAATTAACCTTGTATTAATACTAAACCTTAAAAAACGTTTCATAAATTTCTCAAAAAAAAAATTTTTAACTTATCGCGTAATATTTTTTTAAGAATTTTTCAAAAATTTTACTTTGGAGTTAGCGTTGGAGTCGGAGTCGTACTCAAAAAATTTCAACAACTGGAGTCGGAGTCGGGTACTTTTTTTTTACGACTCCACACCCCTGGATTTTATTATATATTTGCATTATTTTTTTGAAAAAGAATTCCATAACTTAGGTCCTCGATTTGCTATTGAATATTCTGTATATTTATTTAATTTCCTTGGCAGTTTGAAAGAATTTGATTGATTTGTTCTTAAAAAATACTTTTCATTTACATTTTTCTCAAACTTACAAATAAAATTAGCTGGAGTTAGGTTATTAATATATTTATGCATGAAAATAAGGTGCTGATAAAAATTTATTTTGTATACATTCATCATTTTCATATTTCTCATTAATGGTTTAGTATGCTTCTCTATTTTTTTCCCGTAAGTAATTCTATACGCATGTTTTTGCAAACTAAGTATTTTTCTAAGTTTTGTTGGTTGTGTACTACCCCATGTAATATTAGCATAGTTAATGAAAAAATCAATTAAAGAAAAGTATATTAACTTTAGACAAGCTGTATTTATATGTAGGCAAACTCGGTACATCAGACTAATGGTTTTACTAACTTTTGATTGTAAATATATAATATGGCGAAGCCAAAATTAATTATTGTCAACAAGTATTTCTAAAAACTTTATATAGTCTTCCTTTTTTATTTGTATGTATATATGTTGCTTTAATAAAATTATTACTTGTATTAAATTATGGTTTTTCCTAATAAATATGGTCTTATAAAAGTTTTTTTTAGTATGTCACTTAAAAATATTATTGGTGTGTGTCTGTGAGTGTGTCAAAACCGATTTTGTAACAGGACTATTCCTATTCCTGGCCAGTATTCTAATTTAACGGCATATATAAATAAAATGTATCATTTTTTTATCAAATGGTGTTTTTTTTTCAAAATACTGTTACTGGAGCCTTGGATCGAACAAATACAAATGCAAAATGGTTTCCTTGAAGTATTTGGTAAAGAACTTTGGATCTTTTGTTTTAAACTAAACTAGATCAAAACGTATCAATGGTATTCAAAAATATATATACACATTTTTTGTGTGATTATTTTAGGTGCTCCAAGAAGACCTAATGGTCACATTACAGAGCACCACAGAAAATTATTTAACTTGGAAATTTACGCTTCCTTCATTTCGAAAAAAGTCTAGAGTAAGCATGTAACCATAGATCAGTGAAGAATCATTTTTTGATGTTTGAGATAGCTAACAGACATAGCGCAAACTCTAAACATTTTTATGTTTATGTCAAATAATGATGCTTTGTAAAATATTGCGATGATTGAAGGACGGAAACTAAAAACGCCCTAAAATTTTATCCAGCAAATATATGAAAAATAATTTTTAAATATACTTTTAATGTTCAGAGTTTGCAGTTAGATATCGGATTAAAATTCAATATATAAGAACTATTTAATAACTAGAAAGCGAGAAAGCAGTCGCCGTAACAAGCTCCTTGCATCCACTTTTTTTTTAATGGTTTTTTACAAGAACTCTTTATTTGAAGTAGCTTATGAAGTTTCTCCAAGCTCTACATTATCTTGAATAAATTTTACTTTAAGCACAGCAAAATTGAATTTTTTTGTTACGAAATATTTTTCTTAAAATAAGAATTACGTTTCTTGTTTTAAGAAATAAATACCCTACCCTGCAATATATTTCTAAAAACGAGAAATATATTTATTGTTTTGAGAAATAAGTTTCTTAGACTATGCTTAATAGATTTATAACTTTACTGTGAGTTCTGATGAGTTGTTAGCAACTTTGAAAGATTTTAAAAGTTTTGGAATAAAATGTACCTAAAAAGTCTATTTTTATTGATTTCGTGTTTATTTTACTTCTACTGATTTTAAGAAAAGTCTATCATTAGAAAAAAAAATTGGGTTTGAGTTATTTTTTTTTGTATATTAATCTTACTTTAAACCATTTTGTAAACCATTATTTTTAAACAATTTGTTACTTTATGACACAAACTATTCTTAAATAATACTTATGAAATTAAGCTTTAGTTTAAGAATTGCAGAATCAGAAAGTCGCAGCTCAAATACCACTATTCTATGGAGAAAGAATTTTAGTCAGCCATTCTACTGATCTCTTTGAGTATTTTATTACTCAGAATAAAAACTGATTTTAGAGAAATATATCTTGAATTTCATGAAATTCAAGGCGTATGAAACAGCACTATATTTGTTAATTTTTACCTAATGGTCTGATTTTTTTTCGCAACTTCATAATAATCACTGCACTTCTCAAAAGTGTAAATGTCAATAATTTTAAAATTAGAAACTTATACATTTTGTGTTTGCAAAAAGATATTTTAAAGTAAAGCAGTTTTATCTTTACCTCACTATTTGCTAACCTTTGATGATTTTATGAAATAAATAGTTTGTTCTTCAGCTAAACAGTTTTTTTTACGGCTACGGCTATATGAAGCTCTCTGCCAAAAAAAGATGCTGCTTTCTGCTTTACCTGTAGTGTTGCTTTAAGGAAAAAAATGATATCATTTGACAAAAGTTAAATACATTTTTACCTTAAGCGGCTATGACTACTGGGAAAATACTCTTAAATCTGGCAGAGGGTTTTCAAAGCACGAGTGTAGCGAGGCCCATAAAGAAGCAACCGAACGTTTGATAACAACACCTAAAACATGTACGGATATTGGAGAATTTGTTGATACCAATATGGTTTAAAATAAAAAAACTAATCGAAAAATGATATTAAAAATTTTTCAAAACATAAAGTATAAAAAAGGTATTTGGCCCGAAAATCTTTGCCGCTTAGAGGAAACTGAAACAATGAAGAAAAATGTGAAACCAACTCCACCTTTTACCAGTTACACAGCAAAATCCAAGATTCTAGGTTAAGAACTTTTGTTCTTATTTTAAGAACTTTTGTTCTTATTTTAAGAACTTGGTTCTTATTTTAAGAACCTGATTCTTATTTTAAGAACCTGTTTCTTATTTTAAGAACTTGATTCTTATTTTAAGAACTTGACTCTTATTTTAGATTTCTTATTTAACGATATTTCAATAAAAAACATTGTTTTTAATTTTATAATATTGTAACATTTGTATATAATATGTATATGTATTTATATATGTGTACATAGTATATACAAAGAATGTTTGTATATATATATATATATATATATATATATATATATATATATATATATATATATATATATATATATATATATATCAATAGATATATGCAGGTGTACCTCAAAAAAATTAAAGAATTCAGAAAAATTAAAGCCACTGAACTTCCCCTTCTGAAAATTCTCCCCACCCTCTGATAGACCTTGTGTTCATGATTTTATGTAATCAAATAGTCTAATCCATTTGATCGCCATTAAGACTAAAATACAAACCAGAAAGAGTCCTATACTACGAGAATTTTATCGAATTCGCCTTTAATAAATGCAAAATATATATATTTTTTTAGGTAAGAAGTCCTTGCGGTCTTATCACAGAGCACCGCGGAATAGCATTTAATAGGAAAGTTTATGCCTCCTTCCCAACCGATAGCGCAAAACTTGTCCAGAGATGGGTTTGAACCAAGGATCTTACGTTTCTGAGGCAAGTGCGCTACCACTGCGCCACGGCTGCAGTATATTCATATATGCGAATCTGCATAAATCTAAACAGCATAAGTGTGATTCTTTTGTATGGGCGACGCACAGTGAGTCAAAAAAACGGCAAAAAACCCCCCATAAAAAACTATTGCTAGAAAATAAATAATTAGTTTATAATGTCACTAAATACCGCTAAAAGAAAATAAATAATTTTTTTTTTTCAATAATTTTTAAGATTTCACCAATTTATACGTCTTTTTCCGAGACTTATTTAAGTTATTTTATTTATCGGAAAACTCGTTCAAAAAAGTCTCGCTTTAGTGTCAATCTTTTAAGATTGATATAGGTAAAAACAGTTCAAAATTTAATTGAAGACATATGTTTAAGATGTTTGGAAACTATTAACAACATTTTTAACAACAAATTTTAATTTTAGATTTTCATTACTGAGATCTCAAAAATATGTCATAAATTGATTTTTTTTAATTAGTTTAATTATGAGTTTAGTTAAAAAACTATAAGATTCCACTAGATTTCATGGTAGTTTTAATACTTTCCCATTAATAGGTTTATATGAAAGCAGAAAAAATAAAAATCATTTGCCCCAACTTGCCCCAACTAAAATAAGACCTTTTAAATACTTCGTTTTTTTTTTTGTATTTTAATTATAACTTGCGCATAAAGTAGCGAACAATAGTTCATTGCTTGCATTCATCACACAAATAATACATTTAGTTTCTATTACTAAAAAAACTCATGCTCAAGCAGATTGTGCTAATTATCAAACCTCAAAACCAAAATGTGCAATATTTGATGTTATAGTGCATATTTTAAAATTCAAACTTGCGTGTAAAATAACTAACAATAGTTCATTGCTTGCATTAAACATGAAAAGAATACATTTAGTCCCTATAATTCAAGAGTTAGGAATTAATCATGATAATTTACTCGAAGCTCTTATACGTGAGTTTTGTAGACTGGAGGGTCTGTACTATGAAAGTATTGACAAACCTAAAATATTAAATCTAAAGAAAACTCTAATAATATTTAAATGTAAATTCCGATCAAAATTGCAGAAATATTCAAGAACCTTCTCTAGACTTTTGGAACACGAGCAAACTTGGTTGAAAAAGATGTAACTGTTGACAAAAAAAACTTTGCAGCAGATCGAGGCAGAAAGAGCAAGAACTGGGAAGATTTAGGTGATAGAAGCAGAAGATCTAAGGTAATAATAAATGAATTAAGTTCAACCCAGTTTGAAAAAATAGTTTACAAACTTAAATATTAAATATTATCTTGTTTAAGGTTGCCAAATTGGCTGAACATCCTGCTGAAGCATTGGCATTAGCTTCAATTAAAAAAGCCACTAGAGATCCTACCGAAAAAGATTTCGTTGTTCTCATGAAAAGTGCAACAAACTCTGAAAAAAATAATATCACGGAGATAAATTTTTCGATAAAAATTAAAACCGAAGATGCCTTGAGCTTAAAAGTTCAGTGTGACCTTTCTGATGAGCAGTATCAAATTATTAGAAATCCATCAATAATACATAATGCAGATATTTATCCTTCACTTCACGAAATTAAGAGTGAGAGACACAAGTGTTATCCTGAGGGTTTAATTGTGACAGAAACATCTGCTTCAACTCCTCTTCAGGGTATGTTTAATCATACTCTGACAAGAATATTAACTTTTACAGAATGCCAAGACTCTATGAGAATGTTTGCAGAAGTTGGGGGGAAGTTTAAAGGTGTACTTCACTTTCAAGGTGGCTTTGATGTAGCCTCTAGTCAAAGTGTCTATAAACAAAAATATACTGATACAAATATTGGTGAGGCCCAAGTTAACAAGCAAAGTCTTTTCCAGACAGCTATTGTTCCACTTAAGTTTTAACCATCACGAACAAAAATATATGGTTGAATAAGAAGCCTTCCAGTTCACATTACAGTAGACCCTAACATCTCCAATGTCAAAAAGAAACAAAAGAATTGATACGAAATGAGTATGAACTTTTAAAAGCAGAAATGGATAGACTAGTCAAGTTTGAAGTAAAGTTAGAAGTAGAGGAAGGCAAACCGGATACGACAATCACATTTAAGTTCAAACTAGATTTAACCATGTTTGATGGTAAAGTGGTTAATTCCCTCACTAACACTCTGTCCTCCCAATCATGTAATGTTTGCGGATCTAAGCCCATTGAACTTAATAGCCCAGAATTGATTAGATCTAAACCAATTAATGAAAAAATTTTATCTTTAGGTCTTTCTACTCTGCATTGCTGGCTCAGATCTTTTGAATATATTTTACATGTAGGATATAAGTTAAACATTAAAAAATACTTTGCCCAATCCCCCGCTGAAAAAACATCAGTGAAAAGTAGAAAAAAGAACATTCAACTGAGGCTTAGAGAGGAGCTAAGTCTTATTGTTGATATGCCTAAACAGGGTTTTGGCAACACTAACGATGGAAACACTTCCAGAAGGGCATTTGAAAATGCTGAAACTTTCACTGTTATAACGGGAGTGTCAGTAGATGTAATTATTAGATTGAGGACAATCCTAATATCAGTATGCTCCTGTTATGAGTTAAACTCAGAAAGTTTTGGCCAGTATTGCTATGAAACTACAGCTCTTATACTCAAAAACTATTGCTGGTATATGATTTCCCCAACTGTTCATAAACTCTTGGCGTAAGCTTGCGTTGTACGCGTCATAGGTACGCATAAAAAATATTTTTAATAACAAATTTAAACTTTTTGACCCAAAATACAATAGTATTGATATATCACACGTTTATATATGATAGTTATATAATTTTTGCCGTTTTTTCAGCTTTCTGACTCACTGTGCGACGTAGTAGCAGAATAGTATAAGTGTAAGGTGCAAGCAGGGTCTGATCTTACACAAGGCACGTAAAATCCGAGCCTAGGGCCCCTAAAATTTTAGGGGCCCTAGGCTCCTATTTTTCAGCTTATAATAATTTTTTAGCCCATCATAACTTTTCTGACGTAACAGTAGAATTTAAAAAAATTTATTTTATGTAAAAAATTTTTAGTTAAAAAAAAACTGAAATGATTTCAAGATGATTTGCTTGGATTTAACCTTTCCGCTCCGAAGTACGCCTTTTGGCTAGATCCAAAGTTAGGCTCTCTTGTCAAACCGTTATTCCGACGCTGTCCTCAAGGTCCGAAAATGTAAAAAAACGACTTTTTTATTTAAAAGAGAACCTGCCTACTCCAAACTCTCAGTCGTTGTTTCCACACTCCGCTGCATGTTTTCTCTAAAAATCAGTCGGTGTATGTGCACACCGCAGCGCAAATCCCTATATACCCCATTTCGCCTATTTTGTAGAAATTCAAGCTCGCGGACGCAAAAGACGCTCAACGTCGGAATAGGGGTTTGACAAGAGAGCCTACCAGATCCAATGCAAGGGCTGTCGACTCGCGTAAAAACTTGTAATTTGTTTACAGAGGATTGTGGGATACCCTGGTAGTATAACATTTAAAAACAAATAAATACGTTGTTTTCAACGTTGATTGCTCTTAATTTATTTTGTAAACTAATCATAGAATTAATCTTATTTTTTTAAAACTATTTAGACATTATTTTTAAAAATTCCATATTAGAATTACAGGTTTCTCATTTTTCAAAAGAGCAGCAATATTACAGTGTAGTATTAAATATATCATGTCTTAATAAAGCTTTTTGGGTCATAATAATAAACTAATTTGAAAATCTTCAAATGAAACTTGATAAAATAATTTACCATGTAATATTTACATAGCAAGTTATCAACATCAAGTTTCAAGTTTAAACACACACTAATACATATGTATGCATGCATGTATGTATGTATATATATATATATATATATATATATATATATATATATATATATATATATATATATATATATATATATATACATATATATATATATATATATATATATATGTGTGTGTGTGTATAAATGTATGTATGTATTTACATACATTTATAAATGAATACATGATGTATGTATGAATGTATGTATGTATGTATGTATGTATGTATGTATGTATTTGTGTATATACACACATTTCCTCATAAAATCAAAACAGATTGTTAAAAGAAAAACATAAAAGGCATTATTTAATAATTATCAATATTAAAGTTTTTTTTTATTTCCTTTACATAGATCATGTACAGCCAAATAATAGACAAAATTCTTGTTCTGACAAATATACAAACTTTTTTTTATTAGTAAAAAGCATATTAAAAGCAATTTATTAAAAAAACGTTGAAAGTACAGAATTCCATGATTTTAAATAACATCTAAAAGCTAGGTTTTTAGTACAAAGCCACTTTTCAATAAATTCCATGAACAAAGTTAAATAGAATATAACAAATTAATGATATAAATAAAGATTTTGGGGAACAATTTTGGTTGTTTGTTTTCATATTGGTTGCTTCGTATTCATATTCCATCGCTTCACCAAAAAGTATAAGCACACACTGATGACACAGTCAGATCCCTTTTTTAACAAGCTCGATAAACCTGCATGCATTTTACAATAGTTTTCTTTAGAAGAATTGATTTTTTTTTGTCAGCAAAAAATAGGCAATCTTGTTTATTTAGTTTTTTTTAATGTAAATGTTTAAATAAAGCATTTATATGCAGTACTACACTAAAATCTATTTCTTTAAGACAATTATTTTTAAAGTTTATAATGACAACAACAACAAAACATTCAGGTAAGCTAATCCGAATTGTTCGAAAGTTTTTCACTTCAACCTTCTTTGCTCTGAATAGTTCTAATCAAACTTTCAAAATAATTTTGCTTGAAGTGAGATGTGAAAATACAGCTCCACTTTTTTTTCAAGTTAACAGCTAAACTTTTTTTTAAAGTTCTTGACACCATTTTAACATACTAGTTATTGTAACATTTATTCTTTAATGAGGTAGAGGTTTTAAAATACAAAACATTCATTTCTTAATTCGAAGTTGAAATACCCTCAACAGTAACATGTTATTTTACTTTGTAAAATGTTATTTTGCTCATCATGAAACTTCTTTGAATTTATTGAATTAAAATGAGTATTATTTTTATCAACAAATTGGTTGCTCAATAAGAAATCAGCATAACAGTTGACAATAATAACTAATTCATACAATGCTCCAAGAATTTCATGAATTGCATGACAGATAGAACTGCATTAACGTCTTTCTATTTTATACATCGTCTGAATGTGATGCCATGAGACTATATTTAAATATAAATACTGTAGAAATGGCATTATGGAAAAGGCATTTTCCTTAAGTGTTTGTTAAATAAAAATTGAACTTTCAAAATAATAGATGCAAAAATTCCACTCGTAATTGCCCAGTTAGTAACAGCACAGTTTGAAAGCATTTCTGAACAACAAAGAGTATTATTTATTAAAGAATAACGCAATATAAAACAGAAAACTTTGCAGAGTTTCAGCCAATTTTGTTGTTGTGAACTTAATTCTATAGTATAGAATTAAGTTCACAACAACAAACTTAGCTGAAACTCTGCAAAGTTTTATGTTTTATATTGCGTTATTCTTTAATAAATAATACTCTTTGTTTATCAGAAATGCCTTCAAACTGTGCTGCAACTAACCATGCAAATATAGTATAGAATCTATACTACCATGATATCCCAAAATGCCTTGCGCATACGATTACACTCTTAACTAAAGAGCCGACAACTCTTTATCCGAAGTACGCCTTTTGGCGTTTTTAAATATACCTTTATTACCTATCTTATACAAAATTTCAAAAACATTATGTTGCATTTCTGAATTAGCGCCAATGTGGCTCTAATTTACATCTCTACTCCCCTATTTAGTTTTGATTATGATAGAGAATTTCATCCTGATTAAGAATTGTATAAAAACATAGGTCTGAAAATTAACAGAAAGTGCTCTAATTCGATGTTGAAGTTTAAAAAATTACTCTGAAAAACGCTAATATTTGCCATTTTTTCATACTCGATTATAATTAAAATCCTTTACTTTTAAAAAGCCTAGTTTCTATCAACAATTTAAAGCAAAACTGTTAAAAAATTCGTACCTTATCATTTTCATATTGATTTCTGGTCCAAACCCTAACCCTGTCCAAAATCATGTACGTTTAATCGCACCAATCCCTAATTGTCAGTCGTTGTATGTATATTCAATTACGCCAATCCCTATTTTTCAGTTGATACATGTACATTTATTTGCGCCAATCCATTTGTCAGTCAATTTATGCACATTTAAAAAGCAATATCTTAAATTTTTGAAAATTTAATAAAAACATATTCATAAAAAATTTATTTTAATTTAAATATAATTTAATTTTGGCAACAATAAAAACCGGGTTGCATAATTAAAAAAAGATTTTCTATATGATCGATTTTTAAATGTAAACTTTGATATAAAACGTTTTTAAAAAATGGCGAATATTAGCGTTTTTTAGTGTAATTTTTTAAACTTCAACAACGAACTAGAACACTAACTGCTGATTTTCAGACTTGTTTTTATACAATTCTTAATCAGGATAAAATACTCTATCATAATCAAAAATAAAAACAGGGGGGTAGAGATGTAAATTAGCGCCCATTAATGCCTATCAAAAGCAAAGTTACAAAAAGTCTAGATTTTGAAGAGATTCTGAATTCATATATTCTGCTTAATTATATTTATTGCTTATTTAATATTTTTATACATTTCAAAAGTTTGAACTAGAATTTAATTTTCCATGGTAATGTTATTTTTTAGAAAAACAAATTATTGCCATTATCTGGGTAGGTTAATCCCTCAGGGTTCAATAAATAAGGACACATTTATTCGTTCACATAATTTTTCAACAAGGGGGCCCCAAATTGTGTTGTGCCTATAGTCCGT